GAAAAAAAAAAAACAGCGCAAGCTTCGGCGCTAGGCATCGGGGGATTTTGACAAGTACAAGTACTTGTCAAAATGCCTTGTATCGGGCCCGATTCTGATGCTAGCATCGGTATCGGGACATCCCTAGATTGCATGTTTCTATGTTCTTTTACCAGTTTCATCTCACCCTGTTTTGTTAATAAGGCATCAAGATTTCACTCAGTCTGGCAGATTGCAGAACAGGAGGGTTTAGCTGCATGCCCAGCTATACACAGACCACAGGGTATGTGCAGCAGGGACAGAACACATACTTTTAACAAGAAGTAAATGAGCTTTACAAAAGGCCCTCACTGATTTTTGTAGCTGCAGGCTCTGTGGCTCATCCTGCCCCCCTTCCCTGCAGTCATGTAACAGCTTCAGTCACCCTGCTCTTAGAGCTCCTGCTCTGTGTTTAGAATAAAGAATGGAAGGCTGCTGAGTAACTGCTGGAAGTAGGGAGCAGGGGGAACCGAGCTGTTTAACCCCTTCGTGACGGGAGACTACACTGTACGTCCCGCCACAAAGGGACCAAATGACTCGTCAAGTACACTGTACGTGACGAGTTATTTGCTACATTAGAGGGCTGGTAACCGCTGAGAATCAGCGGTTACCATTCATTAATGGATGCCTCAGTATTTAGCTTCTGCTCTAAAGTTTAAGGATGAATTATTCCAAGCTGAAGCTCCACTTCAGCTACAGAGGACAGTGAAGGCTTGTTTTAAAGCTCATTTACTGTTTGTTAAGAATATGAGAATATTTGATTGTCAGTAGTTTGGCCACAGTTGCTCTTTGGGCTGAAATATCAACATATCACTGAATGGACCATATGGCGCTTCAGTCAGAAAGAAAAGGTTTGAAGGCAAATAGCCTATGCTGTGCTCTCTCCTAGTGCTCTGTGACTACAGTGTCAGGCGTGTTTACTTTTAGAACAAAGATTTAATAAAAATTGTAAAAAACAGTTATTAAAGATCAGATTAAACACTTTCAAAACCTAACAAAAATGTTAAAAAGGTACCAAGCATTTAACGTTTCCTTTAAGGGCCCAATTACACCATACCCAGTGCGGTCTGGTGCGATTCTAGCCCGGAACACACTGGTTCGCATAGATCAAGCTGAGCAGCGTTCTGGGATGGGGTGTGTCGGTGCCATTCATGTCAGTGGCACCGCAGACACGCCTCCGTTCGCAGTGTGATCACCTGCACCGGAACGCGAGGTGCAGGAATGCTCTCCATTCCAGTGCAATGCAAGCAGAAAAAATGCTGCATGCACTATTTTTCCCAATCGCACTTCACCGGAACACAGGGTATTCCTGTACCTCGCGTTATGGTGTGGATGATTACGCTGCAGGTGGGGGGGGGGGGGGGGGGGTCGTGTCTGTGGTGCCATTGACATGAATGCCTGGCTTGATCTATGCAATCCAACCACCTTGACAGGTTCCTTTTAACATATGACTACTAAAGTAGAAAATTAATATATAACAAATTGCTATAACGAAGCTTGCATCACCTTTTTGAGTAACGCCACCATGTTTTTACACCACGTTGATGAATAATGCACTCTTTCAATCTTAAACATATTAAGGATGTCATCTATTGGAGTTGTAGAGTGAATCTCATAAGGCCTCTAGGAAAATAGAAACATAAATAGAGGATTACAGTGGGAAGAATATTTGTATACATTTACAGACCAAATATTTATTTTAGTTTTTCTATATCATGCATTTACATGTGTGTAGTGATTGAGATGCAGATTTTATTTCAAGGATATAGCCCTGTTTTAAAACCTTTAGAACACAACAAATCATGGCATCAACTAATGGGTGGTTGGTTAAAGAAGCGTGAGCATGAAAGCCCAATGGATGCCATAGAAATAGGTATGCAGTCAGGCAGATATAGTATAACAGCCTCCATTTTCATAATGTTATTTCCAGTACAGCAGTTGCACAGGGTGTCTAAGCATGACTGTGCAGTCTAATGGGCATCAGAGTTAGACCCAGTTCTCTAGTTCCCAGTTCACAAAGACCTGGTCAGATGTACCTCCTCCCCTTCTTTGCAATACAAGTCTATGTGAGGACATTTATGATGAGGAAGGGGTTTGACTGTTACTCAGCTCTGCCTGTGCAGACTACTGGAAAGTAGGTCAGAAGCACCCTTTTTTTAAAAGAGCAAATGGTATTCTAAAGCATTTTAAGCAAAAATCAGTCACAAATATTTACACAGGGTTACAGAACTATGAGGAGATACAAAAAAAGGTATTAGAATGAGAAAATTCATCCTGCTGGTTTATATTCTTCTGCAGGTTAATGCAGTCATGGGTATTTTACTCTGTTATTAGGATCCTCCACATGACACTGCATTGTCATATGCTCAGGATATTACTTTTTGGTCAGTTTCTTGATGAGTTTTCTCCTCTTCTTCCTCTCTGTACCTTATGTCAGTGTATTACTTTGTATACCTGCACCTGGGATTTGCCTTCTATCTTTTAATAAAGATTCACAGTTAAAAAAAGGTATGAGACTTCTCTTGAGCTTTAAAGTGGCTGTAAAACCAATGAAAAAAATGTAATTAAGCTTGCCTCTAAAAGAATGTACCTATTGGTTCTGCCTTCCACTAGGATGTCTTCTGTTCTGCATAGACCCTCAATAGTGTTGCCACCACAGTGTGCATCCCCTTCTAGTAAGTAAGCTACGTATTTCCTAAGTTTATTTACTAGGTCCCGTGGCCATTTTTTTATTCTGTACAACCCAGTAGATCCCCATAGGCACATCAGATGCTTAAATTACAGCGTACTATGCTCTGAATGGTCTGGAGAAGAGTGCATGTAGCAGCTGAAGTAACATTACCAGGTAATTGTAATATAATTCATTTTTTAAGCTTCTCAACAACCATCTCATATGTGAGGCAGGATCTTCCAAAAAAAGTCTTAGAATATTACATTTGTCCTCTCTGGAATAGAGAATGGAAAGTAGAAGTTATCTCTTCTCTTTGTCTGATCTAGATGTCACAGTCCTTGGTGTCGGGCAGGCAGGAATAGTAACCAAAAAAAATACTAGTGATAAATATCTAATAACATAAGGTGCAGTCTTACCCAACCCCTTAGGAGCTCAAAAGCTGTAATTCCTAATGACCACCAGTCCACAGGATACGAATACCCTGGCCCCACTTCCATGAAAGACTGAAACACTTCTGGTGCTTAAATACGAAACACAGAATTTCATAGTTAACATTCTGTTTATAAAAGAATAAAATACAGTTAGAAATACATGCATCGTAACCTCAGCCACAGCATAACTTCCATTTACCACAATACTGTGGGCATGGTCTAAAGAAGATAACTCATTGTATGCACAAACTAGCTGTATGCAGACTCCTTCTGTTTGGAGTCATGTTATTGCCTTTGTATCGACAACATTTAAAAAAAAATATATATATATACTTGCGGAAAAAAAAAGACAACTCAGCCTCATCTACCAACATTATATCGCATGCAAAGTCATTTGACTGGCCAAGTTGCCTCTTGAATCACTAATTGCTTTTAAAAATGGGTACACTAACTTTCACAATTTTCCTAATTATGAAGCTACTAAATAGTCAAACAAGACAAAACAGAAATGTAAAAGGCATCTGAATAAATGTTTATTTCACACTACTATAAAGAACAAGTATAGACATTGCCCATAACAATCAATCCAAAGTTTTTCATTTTCTGAGCCTGGAAAATTGATTGAATTACTGTCAGCATCCAGAGCACCCCCAGGAGCGCTGGAGGCAGGTCCTACAGTTCCTGTGCTCGCCTGCGGGTGTCTCCAGCAGCCAGGAACTGTCAGGAACCTGCAGCTCCAGTACTCAACTGCGGGTGTGCCCCAGCTGTGACTGATCATCCCATCACCTGGTGCTTCCTGGGAGGGTATTTAGGCCCTCCCTGCAGTAAGGAAGGTGGCTCAGTATTGCGTCGCCTGCACCTGACTGACTCCCCTGGCTTGTGCCTTGGAACCTGAACCCTGCTACCTGAACCCTGCTTCCTATCCGCAACCCTGTCACCGACGCGGCTTGTTACCTCTCCTTGAATCCTGTTCCTGTACCGCGCTGCCCTCCTGTTAACGACCCGGCTTGTACCTGACCACACTTCTTGTATCCTGAGGCATGACGTATATCTGCAGGCCTGTTACCCCTCCTTGTTGCTATTCCCCCTGGCTGTAGGTGTGTGTTTGTCCCAACGGTGGGTTTGTTACTTCACTGCTAAACCTGTGGGGGTTGAAGGGGTTTGTAGTTTTGTTGATATGTAACAAATAAACTGTGTATCATATATTCTGCCTTATCCTGTGTGGTCACCTGTTTGGTCTACCTGCGTGGGTACCTGCGCAGGTGTGGGGGTCACCTGTGCCGGTATCCCTGACAATTACTATTGAAATTAAACTTTTTCAAAACTATTACCAGTGTACCCTGATCAGCCATAACATTATGACCACCTGCCTAATATTGTGTAGTACCCCCTTCTGCTGCCAAAACAGGCCTGATCCGTCAAGGCATGGACCCCTCTAGACCTCTGAAGGTATGCTATGGTATCTGGCACCAAGTGGTCAGTAGCAGATCATTTAAATTCTGTAAGTTGTGAGGTGAGGCCTCCATGGATCAGACTTGTTTTTCCAGCACATCCCACAGAGGGATGGATTGAGATCTGGAGAATTTGGATGCCAAGTCAATACCTCAAACTTGTTGTGCAACTGAAACCATTCTTGAACCATTTTTGCAGTGTGGCAGGGTGTATTATCCTACTGAAAGTGGCCACTGCCATCAGGGAAAACTGTTTCCATGAAGGGGTGTACTTGTTCAGCAACAAGATATTAATGTGATTTGTGTTTTTTTTGGTATTATGCCTTTTTGCTGGTGAGAACCATTACAGATGTTTGGAAAAAACGTGAAAGTGTTTTGCACAGAGCCTATTAATGGTTCTCTTATTATATCTATGTAAAGTGAAAGTGTGACCCGAGCTTTTGGCTAAAAGGTTGGTGCAAAAAGATGTGTCTTTTTCCTTTCTAGGAATGTTAGGATGTGTGTATAAGCTCTCGCATAGAAGTATTAAAATGAGAGTATTAAATAACCTAAGCAATTTATCGAACATTTCCAGTAGAACAGATTGAATATAACATATTTTAATGCTGTTATCCAGTGGTCATATTTTTATGATCATTTCCATCATATACAGTACATTATACATATACTGTGTTTTGCAAAAGTATTCACTACCTGTAGTGCTTTTGCACTACAACTTGAAATTAAAGTAGAATTAAACCCTCCTTTTTTTGGCATATATCTTCTGCTAGTAAGCAGTAGATATATGGAAAAACATTTTAAAAAATACAAAGTCACCAAAAAGGTCATTCAAATTATAATAATGAATGTGCTGCGCTTCAAATAACAATAAATAAACAAATATTTATAATAAATACGTGCTAAACAATACATGCAATCAAAGTGCAAGCCAGAGATGATTGCATGGTCGGCAGCACAGCTCCTGTTTGACCCGTTTTTGCACCCACAGAATATGGTAAAAAGGAGAGAGAGTTGGCGGGCATACATCTTACTTATAGTTTTATGTCAACTTTCCTTATATATGGTCGTGATGACATGCTGACCTCATTTTCTGGGTAACGATTGTGGAGAGACGGCCTTTGAATAAGATTGATTGGAGATCCTATAAAGTGATTTTAGAACTGCCTAGATCTGGTTATAAGGCGAGCGGCCCACTAAGACTGAAGAAACCTGACCAGCGTACTCACTTTCCTCAGTGCTCGAGACGCTGACTCGAGTATAAGCCGAGGGGGGCATTTTTCAGCACAAAAAATGGGCTGAAAAACTCGGCTTATACTTGAGTATATACGGTATGTTTATTTATTTGTTTATTTATTGTTCTAGTTAAAGCGCAGCACATTCATGATTATAATTTGATACATTTAGAGGGTAACACTTCTTATAGGGCTTGCAGCTACACGGGGTTTGGTGCGAGGTGCTATTTGTCATTTATTTACCAAAAAGGTAATTACCTGCCTGTGTCTCCGCCGCTAGCTCCTGTCTGAAGATCTGAAAAATTCTCGAGCAGCCGTGAACGATGATGGGGCGGGCGCATGCGCAGTAGAGATCTTCAGCCGTGAGAAGAGGAGAGACACAGGGTAAGTCAATGCAGGCAGCCCAGCAGCGTACACGGACAAACCCAGTGGGATAGGAAGACACAGCAGTCAGCACCGGATCATAGACCGGCACCAGCGCTGGTGGGCAACTACTGGAAAGGAAAAGATGATCGGATCAAGAGGTATAATTTAAGGTAAGTCCTTAAAGCAGCGTTTTGTCTTTAACATCACTTTAACCTTGCTTAGTGGTGTTGCAGACTCAGGGGTCCTTGAGAACATTGTATATATAGTGCCATCATGGGACAGATCATGTAATGCTTTAATCGCACACAGGTTGACCTTTATCAATTAATTCTGGATCTTCTGAAGGGGCAATTGGTTGGCCCACATCATATTTATGGTTTTTCATAGCTAAGGAGGTGAATACTTATACACAATAAAGATTTAGCTTTTTTTGTCTTAATTATCTTGTCACAATAAAGATGTATTGTGCATCTACAAAGTGGTAAGCATGTTGTGCACATCACATGGTACAAACCTGCCAAAAATCAATTTTAATTCCATGTAATAATGCAGGAAAACAGGAAAAACACCAAGGGCAGGGGGGGGGGGGGGGGGGGGCAAGTGTAGACAGGCATGGATTCCAGTAAGATAGGGTGTACGCCAGGTAGGTACA